TCTTTGGAAGTGAATGGGATATGGCCCTGGCCACACACTCCCAGAGTGTTCAGCTACTTGTTCGTTTGATCTGTGAAGTTATATGAGGCATTGCAGGGGAATGTAAAATCACAGATAAGCAACAAACCCCAGAGCAAATCCCTTTTACACTAGTGCCATTCAGGACAAATTACACTACATAAGAGATATGACAAAAAGCAAGAAACCCAGTTGGTGTGAGTTTTGTATACGTTACACCTTTTAAACTATTGGGTCAGACTGCAAACAAGATGTGCAGAGAAGGGGGTGAGAGACCTTCTTGCATTTTGAAAAACTGTAAGGGGAGTATGACGAGGCTAATTTTTGTAATGCGTATACTCTGGTACTTTGCAGACTTTGTCTGAATTAATGTAGTGTTGCTGTAGCTATCGTATTACATTAGGGTTGGTTGCTGTATGCTATAAGTGATGAACAAAACAGGAGCAGACAAACAAAAATAAAGATAACCATATCCTTTTTGCTTAGCACCTTCCTTTCTTGCTATCCATCTGAAAAATTTAAACTCAGCCCTCTCACTCTATTATTTTTTGTTATAGCAGCACCTGCTCATGTCAGTACTGTTTCAGTCAGTGTTTTCTGCTATAAAGTCAGTTAACAGCAGTTCAAACCTCAACATAAAAATATATTTTCCATGCAGGCTTAGCCCAGGAGTCATAACAGTAGCATTCTTTGTGGGCTTGTTTGTTTTACAACATCTTACAAAGAAATAAAGTGATATGAAAGGTTTCCCGTTCAAGTTTCTTTCTTGCATAACATAAAAATAATGTATTTTCCTCACTTGCTTGGATTCAAAGTTATGAGTAATTCTGGAAGTATTACAGAGAAATATTTTAATTTCAACATTTATTTTCTTGGTGGGATTTTTTATTATTATTCAGTTAAAAGCAAAACTTCTGACACCTTTCTTGTTGTTTTTGTTGCACTGTTGCTGACATGAGCCTCTAAGGGTCCAATCTTCATAGTCTCTCTGGTGTGATATTTACTACGTGCTCTTGACAGCTAGCATCGGCTGGAATTTCAGTAATCAGGAACTGGATAAAAAGAAAAAAGAAAAAAAAAATTTCCGTACTTAAATAATCTTTACCGGAGAATTTGCCTATTTTTCCCCTCTTCCAGTTAGTTTTTCCTAGTCATTTATAGAAATGTTGTTGTAATTGTACATTTGTAAAAGGACCGATTGTTCTGACATGTATTTTAAATAATCAGTGAATTAAGGATCCCTTAAAACTTTATGACATACTTATAATTATATAATTATAGTGTCAGAGTTGTTACAGGGTTTTGTATTTATAGGTGGTAACTCTCATTTTCCTTCCCTGTTTTACTGGCATCATAACTTTACCCTCAAAAAAGTTACCTTTTAGGTTATAATGTCTGGTGTCTGTTTATGTCCCAGAAATGATGTATATGTTTGAAAGCCAGGTCAAAGTAGAGTTGAAGCTGTGATGGTTCAGGAAAAATGCAAGAGACAAGGATTTTTGTGAGTGACACAGTTGCTCCAACAAAAAAATATTGCCCACAAAAATCCATGCCTCTCAGACATTTGAAAAACATTTTGGTCACTTTGGATATGGAACAAGCTTGAGATCATAAACTGTTTGTTCTAATTTTGCTTCTGCCTTTTGTATTGTTATATAAATATTGTCATAGCATGATGGTCAATTAGGACATGTTCAGATTTTTATTTTTATTTAAAGTATCATATTTTTTTTTCTGGCTGCATTTTTGAATGGGTTAAAGTTTGAGGTGGCAAATTGTTTGGCTAGAAAACCATAATCTATTGTAGAAAGACAGTATGGTGGGATTGTGTAGTAAATTACAATCTTTGATAATAGAGATATCTGTTAATGTGTACAGTCAGATACAGTACATTCATGAACCCCTAAACACACATGAAAGAACAAGAAATTCTCTGCACCTTGGCAAGCTCTTCCTGCCCAACAGGTTACTGTGAATCCCATATTCCTTTCAAAAGTACGGTCGGTCTAGCGGCCTTTTGATTTGAGCTATGCATGCCACAACAAAACTAACTTTTAGTATTGAAAGCTAATTTAGCTGTGTTGATGATAAATCCAAGATGCTGTCTGAGCATGTTTACTAATATTGAACCTAGTACTGCAAACTGATTAATTTTAACAGCCTTTCACTGGAAATATGTATGCCCTTACTCAAGCATGGGTAAGGGCTTGGAAGTTCAGACTCAGTAGTTTAATATCATGAAACTAAAAGGATTAAAACGATTGGAAGAGTGCCTTGATCAGTGTGAGGCAGCATCTTTTGGATCCAGGTATCCCGGGCAGTGAAGTGCTAGCTGTAGCAGTAAATATGTGGCAAGTAAGTTATGCTTCCTCATTTAGGAGGGTGGCAACAGTTGATCTGGGTGGCCAGGAAAGTTGAAAAGAAAAAGATTCTGGCCATTATAGGCAAAGCAGTGTTTTTATTAGAAACGATCTCTTTGTTTGGATCCCAGTTATGGGCTGCTCAGTGGTGACACACAGATGGTATCTGAAAGAATGTCTCTCCTGGCTAGCTTTTGCTCAAAAGATGGAGGTAACCAGTGTGTGTCCACTGCATTTAAGTGAGGAATAAAATGTGCTGAATTCTCAGGGGTTTCCCTTTGGAAAAGTACATTCATATCTGATCCTCTGCATGGTTAGTGCAAGAACTGGTAGATTACGACCTCTGTGAACACCCCTCATTTTTGGGGGTAATAGTAAAAGTCTTAGGAAGAGATTTTGAACCAGAAAAGGGTTTGAAGTAAATAGCTGCATAGCTATATTCCATTTTTTTCTTTAAAAGAATGCACTACTTTTTCTAAATGTTAGGTAGCCATTATTGCTTAGGAAGACCGACAGTTACAAAGGCAGCAGTCCTTCTGGATCAACATGACAGTATTCAAACAGTATCAGCATAAGTTTCCCCATATTCTTCTCTCAGCCATAACCATGGGCCGCCCTATGAAAGAAGAGAGAGTGTGGTTCATTACCTAATGAAACAGTCAGGCTTCATCTGACCTTTGGCCAACCAAGAGCAGTACTAATTCTGCAAATGATTTTTGTGATATAGTCTACTGAGAAAGGAACTCGCATCAGCAGCAGTTCATTTCACATAGGTCACTGAGCAGCCATCAGATGGTTTGGCCTCTTTCATTCTGTGCTAAGACTCTGTGGAACCTGGCAAGTCTGACTCATGGCAATTTTTTTCCCCAAACCGCTTGTGTTTGGTTTTTTGCAAGTTGTTACCTTCCTGCTTTTGGTGTCGTTGGTTTGCATCTTCTCAACATTTACATCTGTGCTGTACAACAATGTAAAGTGTTCATGATCTGGAGAGGACAGACCACCTGTTGCCATAAGTCACTGCTGCAACAGGTGCTATTATGGCATCTCACCACTAGGTGGGAGGGGACCACGTAAAACAAGAGTGGGCAAAATACAACCTGCGGGCCAGGTGTGGCCTACTAATTGATTATATCCGGCCTGTGGCTTCCCACAAAACACTCTGCATGCGGCCAAGCCCCGCCCACTCATCCACCCAGGCCAACCCATGCCATGCTCCTGCCCACACCTGCCTCATGCCTGCAGATGGCACTGCCCTGCCCTCAGTCCTGCCCAGTGTGCACAACTTCCTGGCAGGACTGCTTTGCACCCACTGCTGTCCCCCCGACCTTGACCCTCCCTTCCTCCCTCTTCCATCAGCCAGCTCCCAGCACACAGGCATCCCCCCACCACACACCCCACACACAGTATACAAGAGTAAGACTCAATCTTGAGCTGTTATGCAGTTGCCTCTATATATACGCTACTCAAAAAAGATAAATCAGAACAAAAAATATTTTTGAAATAAAATAATATTTGAAATGAAATAATATTTTATATTAATAAATGAAATAATATGAAATGATATTTTGCACACAATAGTGTACAAAAATAAGTTATCATAGATTATTGATTTTTAGTATATGATTTGTGTTTTAGCTATAATTTGTTCAAATTATTTCTTCTGAAAGACTTTGTGTGTGGCCATCAGTGGCTTACCAAAACTCAATAAGTGGCCCACCAGCTAAAATAATTGTTCACCACTAGTGCAAGATCCTATTTCATAGAAGAGTAGTGCTAGAAGGGACCTAAGGAGGTCATGTAGTCCAACCCCCTATTCTTGGAAGGATCATCCCTCTCCAAGTCATCCCATACAAGTGCTGGTCTGTCCTATTCCTAAAACTACATTGAGCAAGTCTTTATTTTTCGTGATATTTCTCAAGTCTGAGCACCCTGTGTTCCCCAGTGACCTCTAATTACCCATCAACTCCTTCAATTGATCTGTTGTGCTCCATTAGCTCATTAGGCCTTTTTTCTCTTTTCTGAGAGGCAGGGTTGTTCTCTACCACATGAATATTCCTTAAACTGGCACTTGGCTCTCCACCTTGGTTACATGCATCAATCACAGCAGACAGGGCCAGTGGCTTAGTGTTTAACTATGGAAATGGCACAACGCTCCCACAGTACTGATAGGACTGGAAGAAAATTGTGAATCGGAGGAGATAAGTAGGTTGGAAGGCAGGGGGTGGGGAACATGGCACAAGAAGAAAAAGTAAATGTAAGGCTCCCTCCAGCACCTGCACAATCACCCTCCAGGAAGGAACAGATCTACATCAAGCCTCTGGCTGGAATTTGGCAGCTCTCAACTTAATTAGGAAACCTCTGTTGGGAGCTGTCCTGGTATTTTCCAGCTCTTTCCTTTTTGCCAGAGGGAAAGAGGTCCTTTGCAGTGAAGCTGTTGTGCATTCATATCTTCTTTTGCTTCTTACAAGCTAATTTTGTGTCTTCATTCTTGCAGAAATGTGGGGGGGGGGGGGGGGGGGGGGGTTCTGGTTCAAAATCTTAGTAAAATGCAAAATGCTTTGCTGTGATCCTACATATAAAAAGCAAACTCAGAAGCAAAATCTACTGTCTTTCTGCCCACAGGGATTCCAATGCTGAAGATAGTATTTGCGGGCTATGAGCACCTGTCTTTAATTTCTGTTCCCTTACTTATCTATCACCCGGCTCAGATTCTTCTTGGCAGTCTACTGGTACCAACAATAAAGTCTTGGATGATTTCTAGGCAAAAGGTAAGACATTGCTCTCATAGAAGTATTTGTAATGCTAACTATTATTTCTTTAATATAAGAAATAGTAATGGTAAGTAAATGTCACTGAAACCTTCAGTTTTCTTGATGCAGACCATCTATACCAAGGGTTTTCCTCTATACCTTTACCTGTTTTATGACAATGATGATATTCACAATAGATTAAAAAAAAAAACCCTCAAGATTCAGCAAGACAAAGTTCTTTGGGTGAATCTGATTTCTTTTATTAGACCAACTTAAATAATTTTAAGATTCAGTCATCCAAGACTTTGGAGAAGGTCAGATCCAGCTCATATCTCTGCATCTGGACCTATCCTCATACTTAATATAACAAGCCAGGTTCTTGGCTCGCATCATACCTAATAATAATGTCCCTTGAAGTCTGGGTCAATCTCTAGCTAATATAGCTAGCTAGCTAGCCTTACAATTTATTCTTATGAGGGATTTCACAGATCTGCTAGCTTGGGGTCCTTTCTATCTACTGGGTGTGTTTTAAATGAGATCCTGAATTACAATTAATTAAAATCATTCAGAACTAAGGCTCTTACTGTTTTCTATTATTCGCTGGTTATTATATTTTTTAAAAACTTTAGATTTTTGGATGGTGGCATTGTATCTCATATCAGGTTTTAAAAACAGGCATGTGGCATGGGAGAGTTCATAGGCTTCTAACAGAATATGCAAAGATTTTCACATTTAAGTTACTGGCTTATTTCAGTAGGGGTAGAATCTGTTACTCCATGACAGCTGATTAGTAGTCTATGTGAAATGCATTAAATTGTCTCAGTCCAGTTCCTAACACACAAATATCCAGATCACAGAAACCAATCTTCGTGATTAAAATTAAGCAGCACCTTTGGTCAACAGATATGACAAGGTTTAAATAGGTGTGGAACAGGAGAACATCCTTGCCCAGAGAGGGTGTTCTTGTTGTTAAAGGTCGATAGTGTGCAAAAGCTTAAACCTAGCATAATTCAGCTGAGGACTTCAGCCTTCAGTGCTGTCATAAACTCTGGGGCTCAGATTTCCCAAGCTGGTGAGTGAGGATGCTTCAGTTTTTGGTTTCCCAATTTAAAAGACCTGAGTGGATGCTCAGGACTCTCTAAAAGTCCAGTTCCATTAAAGCATCTCAAAAATCTAAATCTAATCAAGCATCAAATCTAAAACCATCACTAGCCTTATCCCTTAGGGCCACTGGTTATAAGTTGTTTATAGCTTGTTCTGTCATTCAGTTGCTGCATTCCATACGAATAAACAATAAATCTCAAAAATGTTGAGATATCCAGAATGACTGGTCACTTCCAGAAATCTTGGCCTATAGCTCAAACTAAAGATTCCTAAGAAATTAACTTAAATATCTCCTTTAAGCAAAAATCAGTGAAAATATAGTAGACCAGACCCCCAGATATACAAAGCTCACTTTGTGCTATTCCTGGCAACAAAAAAAATCAGATCTAAAATTGACATCACTGATCCTAGGACAATCACTGAAGTGCTAGGGCATCATGACTTTTATATCATCCTTCTCCTTTCTGTAACCTGTGTAACCGTAACTAAAATGCATTTCTGTGATCCTCAGTTACAGCAGTTGTCCTTGGAGTGCTATCAGCTGTTGCAGTTTAGGCCACCCTTTAGGCAGGGTATAAAACCACAAATTCTTCAGTTTACGATTGAAGGAGAACAAAAGTGGCTTAGCGATACCATTGCACCCTTTTTCTGAGCTTCTCCGAGCCATGAGCCTTTTACTCATTAAGCTTCAAATTGGTCACTTGTGCTAACCAGACTATAAAGTTACAATAAGGATATACTGAGAAATTTTTGTTCTATTGCACCCATATTCTGCACTTGATGTTCTGGGTTATCCACGTTAATATTATTTTAATTACTCCTATAGTTTTCAAATCAATGAAGTTGTTTAGCAGTACCGGTGCAGTAATTACACTAGAACTGAATGTTATGACTGGATAATGGTTTCCTACTTTGAAAACAAACATGTCATCATCACCTTGATGTTTATTTTCTGTAAATATTTTGGCTTCACTTTGGCATCTCGCTTGCAGTGGGAGACGGTTATCCAGTCACAGTACTCAGTTCCACTGACATTCTTGCTTAATTATGATAGTACATGTGATCTGCTTGTATGAAATTGAATTTAAATATTTAGTGGTTCATCTATAGTGAGGTCTTTCTCGGTTGAAAGTATGGCAGCAGAATCTGCCAAGCAATAAAATAAAAGAAATTATGCCCCAAACAAATTGTAGAAGGGTTTCTCTCCCCTAAACTCTTTGCAGTATAATACCCAAGAATATAGTTTCTAATGGCTGCATTTAACAATACTTAATAGTAGTGTTTGGAAAGGGGCGTCACATTACATGCACCTCATTTGTTCCCACAGGTTTTTTTTAAGGAGCTTTTATCAACTTTAAAATATGTACACAGTTAATGATACACTAAATATCTACAATAAAAAGACTCTCACCAGCCCCTATCTCTTAGAACATCCATCACTTTTTTTAACCAACTCATCACAATAATAGTGTCCCCCCTCACATCAGCCGACATCTGTTGAAGCACCCCTTCAGTTAAAGTGCAAGGAAAAAAAAGAGAACTGTGCTCTGAAGGTTGGCAAAAGCAGTCTGTCTTGGATACAAAGGGGTATGTGAGTGATAGGGCTTGAGTACCCTTCATGAGGAAATGCCTGCCCTCTCCCCCAACCTCACAAACTAGCAAGCTGTTAACTTTAGCCTGGTTGTTGATAGCACTTGCAAAAGTATCCCACAGGAAGAAAGTAGCCTCTTAGATAATCATGTCTTAGAAAGCTGTTCTCCCAGCACTTTATATTGCACCTAAAAGCTAACTAGAGGGTTGTATAAAACCATTTGTAGGATATTTGCAACTGCCTGACAAACACACGTCTACATACAGTTACTGTAAATCTACATAGGGTGCACAGCTGTAGTTTTATCTTCAGGGGACAGAGACTTGGATAAATAAGATCCACACTAAAAATAGTTCTGTCCAAGTGCCGCTGATTAAAATCATTCTTAAGACCTTCTATTTTTTGCATGAGGAGCAGGTGAGGGTCTAACCCAGCACACACATAGCAAGTGAGAGTATTAGCCCCTCTGAAGGACCTCTCTGTTAACCCACAGGCACCCAACTCCCATTAACCAAACTGAGTAATTTAGCCAGTTTCACAAGTTGGGTCCTACTTGATGAGACCATAGAGATGAATTTTGTTAGCATATTGAATGTACGTGGTCTACATCTGCCTTACATAAATATTGAGCAGGAGTGGTAGCAAGCTATAGGGACTCTTACAGACATAACTCAATGGCAACAGTTATCCTCAGCACTGAGAGGTTACTGCTTATTTTTTTCCTCTGGGGATGTATTGGAAAAGGAAGGAATGACTGACAGAGGTAGCCGATCATCAAACAGTGCAAGTAGTACAGATTCTGCAGTGAAAAGAAGTCTTAAACTAGATGGTGTGAAGTACAGTGAATAGGAGGATTGCAGATATTCTCTCTCCACAACCTTCTTAACCATCTTTTCCAAAATAGTGAATTTAAAACAAGTCAATAGATGGATTAGCCACTTCACAAGATGGTTTCTTGAGCAGGAAGCTTAACTTTTGCTCTCAAAGATAGCGAAGACTTGATCCATCTTCCTTCATGAGCACTTCTAGCCCTTTTCCTGCTCGTTTCTTCTGCTGTCAGCCACCCAGTAGTGACCTACGTAGGTGAATCATAAAACCATAGAAAAGAGCCTCAGAAAGCTGAGTCCACCCCATTGCCCCACCTTCCCCGTTGCAATGGGCACATGGGTGCTTCCCACCCCTGTTGCACCATGCAGGCACAAGGGTACATGAACCACAGCTCCACAGTGACTGCAAGCACGGGTGACTGACTCCACTGCTTCACCCCGCCTCCCAGGGCAGGGCAGGAAGCAAAAAGTCAAAGGGGAGCCTGGAGCCTCCAGCTGCAGCTGCTACAGTTGGGAGTGATGGGGGAGGTCGCAGCCAGGTGGGACCCTGGAGGCCACAGATTAACCCCTTGCACGGTGCCAGTTGAACAGCCCTGGTCTAACCTGTTGGTTGTGCAGTTTCAAGAACCTTTTCCAACACCTGCCAAGCACAATGCCTGGCTATGGGAGAGTGCATTTAGAGGTCCCAGTGTCAATAGCTAACAGCAAAAGATCATTATACAACCTAAGCAGAGTAGTTTATCTTCTGCATGCTTATATTTCTCAGAACCACCTGGAAATCCACTGTCTTATTGTAGCCACTAAAATAAAAGCTTGTCTTGTGTATGTTTGTATGACTGTTTTGTTTCGTGTTTGCAGGCACTGAAGTTAACAAGGCAGCCCAAAGCACCTGTGAAGGTATAACAGTGAAGTTGGTCCGTGTCACAGTGAATGTATATATGTACTATACTGTACACACACAGACAATGACAGAGACTGGTATTTGTGAATGTTGCTTCAGTGCATATTTTATTTTTATATCTGTAACTAAAAAGTTATACCCATTTAAGTGCCTTAAAAATGCATTTTTGGCAAAAGCATTGTTTCCAGAAGCCACTTTGTCGGCTACTGAAAGAGGTTGTACAGTATTTTGAAGTCATTCAGTTTTTATTTTTCTATCTGAGTGGATGATCCTAGTAATTAAAAGTTGCGTTCCCTTCATTGTCTCTCAAGCTAGGAGTCACCAGCTGTAAGTTAATGTTTTAAACTAGCCAAAATTACTAGCAGCACAATTCTCTGCTAGTTGACTACAGGGAAGTGCTTGCTGAACTTTGATTCAAGACTGACTTGAATTTCTCTGTGATTCTGTTACCCTCCCCAGTCATATAACTGTGACATGCCTTTTTCTTCTGAGTTTGTGTACACTCAGCATGGGGCCATCCATTGTATGGAAGCTGAGAAGCATAAATTATTTGCATGTGTTGACGCAGTTGTCTAGACATTCCTTCAAAGCTAATGGTTTTCTCAAGAAATTTCTTTCAATTCCATTTTATGATATTGTGCCATTGTATATCTTAAATGCATCATAGGCTTCTTCAAAGAAATGGTCTACTGTTTGGGTTCTGAGTGAAGTTATGTTGTGCAGCTAGGAGACTTTTTATAATTTACCCAAGGTGAACAAAAATTTTTGTTTTTCTTTTTTCATTTCCAAATGTAACACAGAGATCTGCAATGACACAATTGCAGATGCTAATGTTGAAACTGTCATAAGCAAGCTAAGTTATAAATTGTCATATTAGAAATGAATAATGGCTTATGAGAACTAGAATGTTGACAATTATTTTTCTCCAATTAAGGTTGTAACAAGAATTAAGAAAGATGTTTGTGGTAGCAAAGACGCTATTTTAATTAAGTTGACAATCAATTGCAGCATTTTTTTTAAATAAAATATTTATTTATTTTTGTCATAAAATTATAAGAAAAAAGAATCTGGATACACAATATTATTTATGTGGAAGGAAGAGGTGTATAATCTTTAAGCACACAACAAGCACTGCACCTTATTCAGAAAATCAAGGAACTAGAATGGGGATGCTACAATTCACCCACTTGTAAGAACTGGATAGGGCATGTACATCAAGACCTCAGAAGGAGTAAAAATCAAATCTCAAACCATAATAAGCACAAGTGCAGAGTTCAAGGGTTCCAGGCACATCACTCTTACCCTTGCATTCAACTTGTATAAGAGTATAGGTTCCCAGCTCATGCAAATGGCAGTTTATACCAGCTGAGAATCTGATCTGTGCCAAGGGGAATAGACCCTTGGGATGAATGACCCCATATGTTCTTCAAGTCCTGTTTGGTGAATCTGCCATGTTATCCTGATTTTGATGTTTGATGCCAAGCAGAGATGCTTTACGGTAGAATGGTCTGAGCTGCTGACAAGGCTAAGACATCAGCTCTCACTATGGATCGCCAAGAATGTGCTGTAAAATCAACAGCCCCTATTGATAAAACAAGCAACTACCAAAAGTGCATGGAACTGCAAGGTACAGAGTCCCCCTCATCGACTAGATTAGAGCTAGGAATCCTGCCTTAAGCAGATGGAGAGATGCCTCTCCATACCTGAGGTTGAGCTTGCATCATCACTAAGCTTACTGAAGTATGCCACAAGTGCGTGCCTTTTGAGGGCAGCTCAAGCCCTCTAACAAGCTAAACTAGTAAATTAAAAAAGCAGCTCACACCCGTATTTTTAGAGCCAAATAGTAAATTCTCCTTTATCATTAGCTGGCTCTGTGTGCATCCAAATTCCTTTTCGATACTTAACACATATACTAAAAACATCCAAGGGTTAGATAAAGGGCACAGGGTCAGTACACCTTCTTTTGGCTTTGTTTCCTTGACTGTCTTTTGAACCTCCAAAGTGTACATACGTAAGGGCCTAATCCAGCTTCCATGAGACTGAGTGAATTTTTCTACTGGCTTTAACAGGCATGAGATCAGGCCCAAAGAGAGCATGAGTTTCTGGATGACTGGTTTAAACCCCAGAGAGAATTCTTGCACACATTTTTTTTTCCCCTTCATTGGATGTGTCTACACTGAGCAGTCAATACACTGCTAATATTCCAGCTGATCTACCTCAAAGTACTGAATCTAATGCCTTCGCTATGTGCAGCAATTAGTTTAGATTCCTTTGAAAATGTCTTTGTTATACATTTACTGCGTTACCAATATGGTGGACTGTTTTCCATAGAGAATTTTGTTAGGTCCTGTTCAGTGTGATTATTGAGCTTAAATGCTGTATGTTTATTTCTGTTTTTACATAAATGAATGTTGGATATATTGTTCTGAAAGGGGTGCAAAGCAAAACAGAAATACATTTTTAAATCCATACTTAGTGGAACTTAATTATTCATATCCCAAATATTTTGTTATGTTTAAAGACTGTTAAGCTGTTCATGTCATGCCTTCAATTACGCTTACACGTCTTTATAAAAATAACTTTGGTTAATGCGAAATAAGAGAAAATACAAACTTCCTTATGAAACAGTTCAGCATTATATTTTTGTAACTTGAAGTTTCATTCTTTTGACGATGATGTTTTGGAGGTTACTGCTTGTCCCTTTTTAAAAAAAATGTATTGTAAAAAATATATATATTTTATCAATGGAATTTGGAAATCTTTTTCTCTACATACAGTCCATTTTATTCTGTTGTAAATAACTTCAAAGACCTGATTTTACTTGGAAGAAGGGGGGAGAATCAAGTAGAGGATATTGCAAATTGTTATCAGATTAAAGAGAATTAAATACAGAGCTGTTTTTACAAGAAGAAGATGAGGAATCTTCTGAGGGTTCCTGAGCTTTGCTTCAGAGTTGCCAAGAGAAAGCTGACTGTTCATTTTCAGGCAAAACTCCTTTTGCTGGCAATGAGAATTTTGTCTGTGTTAGGACTTGAGAATACTGTTCACTCGTTAAATGCCTTAGATTCTGCATATCTTGAATTCTATATATTACTGTCAGTGCAGGAAAAAATAACACAATAGAGCTGAAGAGTTGGCTATCTTTTGGTACGAAACTAACAGAAGAGTTGATTTTCCCTTATGTGTCTAAATCAGATGTGAAGCACAAAACCTAATGGGTTAAAATGGTCCAAGTAATATGTTAAAGTAAAATAACCCAACGATTTATTTGAAATCAAGTTCCACTACTTTTTTGTCATTATTTGTATGTTCCTTCCTTAACGTGAGCAGCACACAGCCAACAAAGCTGCGGTCCCAACAGAGACTGGTGACTTACACCCATCCACAGAAGAAAAGAAGAATTCAGCCGTCTGTTTTTACAAAAAATACAGCTGCATAAATTATTCTGGTGAACAGGGAAAGAGGAGCCCTTTGTAGTATGCTCCCTAATCACACTTTTCATCTTCAATTTTACATGTGTATGGTTTTCTGCAGGAATAGCTTGACAGGAGGAGGAGGATAGAAAAGGATGAAAATTTGTGTATGTAAGCACGATATATATGTGTGTAAGTGTACACATACATACATACATATATGTATAAATAATGAGAAAGGACCAAGTCCAAAATATATAATTGTTTGCAAATCCACATATGTAAGAATAGTTACTTTTCTGATGTTACTCTGGCATTAAAATTGAAATGTCAAATACTGAATTGTATTTTGTATTGAATCTTGATCTTACGCCGAACTCTGTATAGGGGCCTATTACAGCATGATTATTTTCTTTAAACTTGGATCATACAGGCTGTTTTGCAGTTAAATAGATAGATGTTGATGCATTTGGGAATTACCCTGGGGGGGGGTAATAGGCTGTATCATTGTTTCTTCAGTTTATTTTAATACCAATGACTTTACCTTACTATTATGGCAAGGTATCATAAACATGTAAACATGTTAAATAAACAACGGCCTAAATTCCACCCTGGATGGTACTTGTGCAGCTCCAGTGACAGGTCTGTTAATCTGTGGCATAGTCTCCCAAGGGAAGCTATTGGAGAAGTATCTGTATTGTTCTGAAAATGCTCTGCATTATGTAGCATGTGAAAAAAAAGTAAATGAAGAGTACTTTTGTATCATCTAGTGGCTTGTTCTGGCTAGCATATAACAACCCTAAAATCTGTTGGCTCAGAGGTATGCCCACTAAAAGTGCATTCCCTATCACAGTCTTCCATATTGACAGCCCAGCTAAATGGATCTGACCTGTTTAGGATAGATTTTATCTCAATCTTTTCCTATGTGTGAACCATGTCATTGTTAGGACTTGAGTTATTTTGGATAGGCACTTTGGTTCCAAATCTCCATGGTTATGTAAGCACAACTACAGAACAATAAAACCTGTCTCTCAGGTAATTATACATATGCAGTGTCGCACTTTTGTTTAGATTTTACTGAAATTTAATCAGTGGCGCTGCAAGTTATCATAAAAAGTGGTGATTTCCAAATCTACTACACACTGGATCCTTCAGCTTTCCATCACAAAGAACTGAGTTGAGGCAGGTCTGCTTCAGGCTAGAAGCTTGTGCACAAGCAGAAGTTGTAAAATGAGCTCTTTAATTGTTTCCTTTGTTATGGAGGTTGAGAGTGAGATCTTCAGTAGGAAGTGAGGTTTAATTTGTAACCAATGCAATGATCAAAGGAATGGAGGAAATGTGTTGGAGGCATTTGGTGTTGATGGGATTTCTCAGCTGCTACCCGGAATTGCAGTCTCTGTGGAATATCAGTTTCAGAGTCCATTAAATTTCAGTAATCCATTCTGGACATGATCAGGGCATGAGTCACCACTTAATTTTCTCATCAGTGGAGGCCAAGTTTTTAAAATATTTTTAGATACGCCTACAATAGCAGTCCCTGCCTGCCAGCCACCCTACAGAGTAACAATGAAGTGAGCAACAACTATCATTGAATCAAGCTCCCTACTTGACACACACCCTTTCTACTTCAAATTTGCGCAGGAAGGGAAAGAAAGTCAGAGGCTTCACCAGCATAGTGAAGAACTGAATCCCTTTGTGTCATATTAACGTTGTATGCCTGGTTACTGATTCTGACATGCACATTGGTAAAATCTAAGAGCTATACTTCACTTACTGCTCTTATTCCATATTCTGAAACCAGGGACCCAGTTCACTTCAGGAAGTAAACGTGCATGAGCTGATAATAGCTGTGAGTGAAACATAATCTAATGACACTAGTGGTAGATAGCTGCCAAAATAGCCATAAACTAGACCCTGCTAGTTGTTAGTGAATTTATGTTGGTGAATATAGTAAGCTTTACTGTGCCAAACTCACTTTCTTGTTTTTGCTGTCTCAGTCCAAGTAGTGGGTCATCTGAACTAGGGCATAGTACCAGAAACTGCTGGGACCCCTGCTCAAACCAAGGGAGCAAGAGTTGGCCATGACAGTACAGGAAATAGGCTGGCCTGCCTAGGAGGCACGACATCTCCAAATGGCCTTCTGCCAGTTAGTTGTCTGTAGAACACCAGGCAGACATCTGGTGTTCAGCTAAAAAATGATGATTCATCTTTGGTGGATGTCTGTACAGCCCATCCATTGGTGGACTGTATACTTACAGATGGTGATATAATAGTAACACAATGTTACTCAACATTAAAAAGCTTGCACTTTCTGAATATGGCTTTAGTTCATTCTCATGCAAAATAATTCTTGTTTATAGCAATGCCTTCATGGGGGGGGGGAGTTTATTTTAGTCTACTTTAGCCAAAATTGGGGTGTCCATGGAAAAGAATTATTTCATTAGGCTATTTCATAAGATGCAAAAATATAGGGAGAGAATGTTAATACTGGCCTTTTACTAGAAGAAAGTAAACTGAGAGCTGCAGAATCACAAGGCAGAATTTGTGAGCGAAATTCTATTGACCAGACATTTGGAATTGCATATGTTTTGTTCATTTCTAATCAACTTCACTGGATGTCTTCCCAAGCAGTCTCCTGCTGCCTGCTTTTCTCCAGAGTGTCTTAGAAGTCTATAACAAAGAGAGACTTGTGAGCTTATCTAAGCCATCTCCCAGTTAATGTAAGCCTGTGTTCAATTTGTTAATTCCTGTTTGCTTTGTCCAGAGTTGTTCTAAATGATACAGCTGCCACCACTTCCCTTGAAGACTATTCTGGAGATAACTGCTGTAGAGAAGTTTTTGCTTATACTCTGCCTGATATGTCATGTTCTAAAATTCATGCAGTTGTTCTTAGTTGAACAAACTGGTGTCATCATAAGCAAAGCCTTTCTCATAGGGCTGGATTTTAACAGCCCACAACCCTGACTGGTAGACATCCCGAAAGGAGTTTGTGGAATAGGCTGGGCTTCAAAGAAGTACTCAGTGGTTGCCACCGCTGGTCTTGGGATACCATTGCATGGCTGCATAACAATTCAGGGGGAGCCAGAACTGGGCATCTAGATTCCAAGCCCATCGGGGTGCTGGCGATTGCTAAGTCAGCTGGTTACATTGAAATTGGAAAAATTCAAAACATATTTTAATTCCAGGTTTAAAGTCGTCTTCCAATCCTTGCCTTCAAATGTCACAAACAGAGCAATGCCTGCAAAAATCTTCCCAATAACTAGGCAGTAATGTGTTTCTTGTTACATTTTGTGATGTCCCTCTTCTTTGTTTCCACCTGCTTTCTCTCTCATCACATGCAGTACTACATCGTAATATCTTTGGGGCAGAGACCTGTCTACATTATATGTATACACAGTGTTTAGCACAATGATGCCTTGATTCCTGACAGTGCCTAGAACAGGGGTGGGCAAAATGAGGCCCGTGGGCCAGATGCAAAAAGGACAACAAGAAGTCCTTTTTTAAGTACATAGGGAGTAGAAAGAAGGCCCCAGGAAATGTGGGGCCCTTGCAGGACAAGATGGGGAATCTGGTTGTCACGCCAGACGACAAAGCCAACATATTTAATAACTTCTTTGCCTCTGTCTTCCTCAGTAAGGACCAGAACTGCCACCTCCCTGCTGGGCCCCCTTTGGGCCCTGGGGGAGGCTCACCTGGGCCTAGAGTGAGTGAGGATTTAGTTAGGGAGCTTCTGGAGGGGCTGGACATTTTTAAGTCAGCCGGCCCGGATGATCTTCACCCTAGAGTCCTGAAGGAACTCGCTGGGGTCATTGCAAGTCCCCTGGCACGGCTTTATGAACACTCGTGGTGCTCTGGAGAGGTGCCGGAGGACTGGAAGAGGGCCAACGTGGTTCCCATCTTCAAAAAGGGAAGGAAAGAGGACCCGGGGAACTACAGGCCAGTCAGCCTTACCTCGATCCTGGGCAAGCTGTTCGAGAAAATTATTCTGGCACACATCCAGGAGGGGCCAGCAGGGAACTGCATGCTCAGGGGCAACCAGCACGGGTTCATCAGCGGCAGGTCCTGTCAGACCAACCTGGTGGCCTTTTACGACCAGGTCACTAAATCATTGGATGCAGGGGTGGCAGTGGATATAGTTTTCCTAGACTTCAGGAAGGCTTTTGATACTGTCTCTCACCCCATTCTCATTAGGAAGCTGGGGGACTGTGGCGTAGACACCCATACAGTCCAATGGGTCGCCAACTGGTTAGAGAGTCGCACCCAGAGGGTGGTAGTGGATGGGTCCTTCTCGACCTGGAAGGACGTGGGAAGTGGGGTCCCACAGGGCTCGGTCCTTGGGCCCGCCCTGTTCAACATCTTCATCAGTGATTTGGATGAGGGGGTGCAAAGCACCCTGTTCAAGTTTGCTGATGACACTAAGATGTGGGGGGATGTGGGCACAATAGAGGGGAGCAACAGGCTACAGTTGGACCTAGACAGGTTACAAGGATGGGCGGAGGAGAACAGGATGGGGTTTAACACAGACAAGTGTAAGGTGATGCACCTGGGGAGGAACAATCGGCACCATACATACAGGCTGGGGAACTCCCCTCTTGTCAGCACGGAGGTGGAAAAGGATCTGGGAGTCATTATTGACTCCAAGATGAACATGAGTCGGCAATGTGGGGAGGCGGCTAGGAAGGCCAACTGCACCTTGTCGTGCATCCACAGATGCATCTCGAGCAGGTCCAAGGAGGTGATCCTCCCCCTCTATGCGGCACTGGTCAGGCCGCAGCTGGAGTACTGCGTCCAGTTCTGGGCGCCGCACTTTAAGAGGGATGTGGACAGCATCGAGAGGGTCCAGAGGAGGGCCACTCGTATGATCAAGGGACAGCAGGGTAGGTCCTATGAGGAAAGGTTGCGGGACCTGAACCTGTTCAGCCTTCAAAAGAGAAGGCTGAGGGGGGATCTTGTGGCCTGTTATAAACTGGTTAGGGGGGATCAGCAGGCGCTGGGGGAGTCCCTGTTCCCCCGAGCGCCGCAAGGAGTGACCAGGAACAATGGTCACAAGCTGGCGGAGGGAAGGTTTAAGTAGGACATCAGGAGGCGCTACTTCACGGTCAGGGCGGCTAGAGTCTGGAACCAGCTTCCAAGTGAGGTGGTGCAGGCTCCCACCCTGGGGGTTTTTAAGAGGAGGTTGGATGACCACCTTACTGGGGTCATTTGACCCCAGTGCTCTTCCTGCCATGGCAGGGGGGCGGACTAGATGATCTGCTCAGGTCCCTTCCGACCCTAGAAACTATGAAACTAAGATGCAGCCCACCAAGCCATTCTATCTGGCCCGCGGGGCCCCTAAAA